AGGCTAGTAGGTAGGAGATGGGGTGGGGCTCGAGGTGGGAGGAAGGACAGGTTAGGAAGGCGGGGACAGGCTGGGCTGGTTTTGGGATGCAGTAGGGGGAGGGGAGATTTTGAAGCTTGTGAATCCACATTGATACCATTGGGCTGCAGGGTTCCCAAGTGGAATATGAGGTGCTGTTCCTACAACCTTCGGGTAGCATCATTGTGGCACTGCAGGAGGCCCAGGATGGACAGGTCGTCTGAGGAATGGGAGGGGGAGTCGAAATGGTTCACGACTGGGATGAGGTGTTGTTTAGTGCGAACCGAGCGTGGCTGTTTTGCAAAGCGGTCCCCAAGCCTTCGCTCGATTTCCCCGATGTAGAGGAGGCCACAACGGGAACAGCGGATACAGTATACCAGATTAGCAGATGTGCAGGTGAACATCTGCTTGATGTGGAAAGTCTTCTTGGGGCCTGGGATGGGGGCGAGGTGTAGCACTTCCTGCGGTTGCAGGGAAAAGTGCCGGGTTTGGTGGGGCTGGAGGGGAGTGTGGAGCGGACAAGGGAGTCCCGGAGAGAGTTGTCCCTCCGGAAAGCAGATACGGGTAGGGAGGGAAAGATGTCTTTGGTGGTGGGGTCGGATTGCAGATGGCGGAAGTGTCAGAGGATGATGTGTTGGATCCGGAGGTTGGTGGGGTGGTACGTGAGGAGGAGGGGGATTCTGTTTTGGTTGTTATTGCGGGGAGGGGGTGTGAGGGATGAATTGCGGGAGACAAGGTCGAGGGCGTTCTCGACCACTGGGTGGGGGTGGTAGTGGCGGTCCTTGAAAAACGAGGACATCTGAGATGTTCGGGAGTGGAACGCCTCATCCTGGGAGCAGATGCGGCGGAGGCCAAGGAATTGGGAATAGGCGACGGCATTTTTGCAGGAAGGTGGGTGGGAGGAGGTGTATTCTACGTAGCTGTGGGAGTCGGTGGGCTTGAAATGGATATCGGTTTCCAGGTGGTTGCCGGAGATGGAAACTGAGAGGTCCAGGAAGGAGAAAGAGGTATCAGAGATGGTCCAGATGAACTTACTTCAGGTTGGGGTGGAAGGTGTTAGTGAAGTGGATGAACTGTTCGAGCTTCTCGTGGGAGCACGAGGCAGCACCGATACAGCCATCAATGTAACGGAGGAAGAGGTGGGATTTAGGGCCAGTGTAGCTACGGAAGAGGGATTGCTCCACATAACCTACAAAGAGGCAGGGGCATAGCTTGGACCCATGCGGGTACCCATGGCCACCCCGTTTGTATGTAGGAAGTGGGAGGAATTGAAAGAGAAGTTGTCGAGGGTGAGGACGAGTTCGGCTAAGCGGGTGAGGGTGTCAGTGAAGGGGGACTGGTCGGGCCTGTGGGACAGAAAGAAGCGGAGGGCCTTTAGGCCATCTGCGTGGGGAATGCAGGTGGATAGGGACTGGACCTCCATGGTAAAGATGAGGTGTTGGGGACCAGGGAATTGGAAGTTTTGGAGGAGGTGGAGGGCGTGGGTGGTGTCACGGACGTAGGTAGGGAATTCCTGGACCAAGGGGGAGAAAAAATGCTAAACATTTTTCTGTGTTTAGAGCAGAGAAGCAAGTTTGACCACACTTTCCAGTTTTAATGCAGTCTGTGAAATGTTAGTGAAAAGCAGACCAGTTGTGAGTGAAACAAATACAAAATAATTATCTAATCCCTTTTGCTAGGATTTTCAACTAGCTGATGTACTGTGTAAATCAACCTGCAATATGCAACTGCTTCTGGCAAATTCCCAACTTAGCATTTTTAAACTAGTGCAAGCTACTTTCTACATTTCTAGTAACCAACCCAGTACAGAATGAGAGATAGTAGGAACTGC